TTACTCTGTTTACTGTTATTTGGGATTTGAACACACACAGTAAAATGTAGAAGTTCCGGCGCCTATGTCAAAAATAAATAAAATATATGGAAAAGTTATGCATTTATTTTTGATATTCATTGAATACGTTATAATTTATAATGTTACTAATCATCCAAATTTTTTATTTTGTATTTAAGAAAATTAAGACTAGTATTCAAGATTTAATTTTGTGAATAAGAACCAAGTTCTCATTAATGATTTTATATGTATATTTTTCGTAACACATATTTCTGGTATAAGTGACAACTTTATATTTTGAAACATTGATTTCTAATCGGTTTTCTCTGCACCATATTTCAATATTACCCAAATCATTCTGTAAACTCAAATAATCTGAAGATCGTAAGATATATTTGTCATGTAAAACTAGATTTAATGACAAATTTGAGATTTTCAATACATGATTCAAATTAGTAACACTGAATTAATACTAAGCCATTTTAAAGGAGGGGCGGTTTTCGGACTACTTTAATTTTGAACTTAAATTTTAAAAAATCATTTCCTTATCATGTGTTATCAATATTCAATTGATTCCACCCCAAACAGAACCTCCCCTCACTCGCACATAACTCTTCTTTTATCATCCTTCTTTAAATCTAACCCTGTGAGCGTGGTGGGGAAAAGAAAAGATGGAAGAGGGTGTAAAAATCATCTTTTTTGTGATGAAATACAGAATCCTTGTATGTAGTTCCATTATACAGGGTGTCCCTGAATAACGTGTACAACGGAAGACCACAAATACGTGTACTCAAAATAGGCAGATATAGGCTAATTCACCTATATCCAAAATCGCTTCGTTTGGCCGCTAGATGGCCTCAAAGTTCGTGAACAATTTTTGAATTTTGTAAATAACTCAAATACGTATTAATCGATTTTGATTATTTTTGGGGTGTGGCGCCATCATGCATAAATCACATGTTAGCTCTGAGTAATAACGTCACATCCTCCAATAACTTGGATTTGCCAAAAATTCTAAATAAAATTCCCCATTCAGTTTATTGGGTAAAATAACAGGGGCAGTAATAATGCTACCCAAACAATATCAAACTAAAATTACAGTCAACCTACAAAATCAGAGCCTATTAGCACTTCGTTAAGTATTGTAATTATGGGTGGTAAGATAATGTAGACATTTAAAAAATATTTTTTTGTACCCAAACCGCTCATTTAATCAAAATTCTATAAACTTCCAAATGGTATCACCTATTAAATAAAAAATACTTGTTAATATTGCCCAAAAGGGGAAAAAGCTATGAACGGATGTTATCACCATACATCAATTTTGTAGGACTAAGTTTTAAAAAACACTCTGTATAACATCAAAATCTGTAGATTGAAAGCAAAAGTCCACACCCCAAAAATAATCAAAATCAATTAATACCTATTCGAGTTACTTACAAAATTCAAAAAATTTTCACGAACTTCGAGGCCATCAAGCGGCGAATTGAAGTGATTTTGGATATATGTAAATTAGCCTAAATCTGCCTATTTTGAGTTCACGAATCTGTGGTCTTCCGGACTGTATGTAATCAAGTTATAAGATAAGGGTGAGAGTGGGTAGTCCGGATAAACTTTTTTGAAAAAAAAATTACTTGGAGGGGAGTAAACACTCTTTAAATGCAGAAAAATTAAGCCATACCTTTTCTGAATTATGCTTATCTAATCCTTAAAAGGGGTAGAAGAATTATGTGAGAGTGGTGGAGAGAGGTTCCGTTTGGGGTGGCATCAATTAAATATTGATAATAAATAATAAAAAAATGGTTTTTTAGATTTAAGTCCAACATTCAAATAGTCCGAAAATCGGTCTTAGCTACCCTCCTCATTTATAAATCTATTACTATATTTCTACCTACTGCTTATAATGGTTCTTACATACAATATGATGCAAATGTATGGAATAAATTCATTATTTCAAAAATAGTCGATTTTTGAAAAAAAAAACCTAAAACACGTCATTTTGAAAGGCCATCTTGTGATATACATTTAAGAGCCGTTACGTTACAAGTGCTGACGTAAAGACATAATCGACAATTTTTTTTAAATCAAACAGGGATCATAAGATACCTCAATTGAAAGGTTTCCTAATCGTCTATCCAACGCTATAATTATTCGAATATTTGTTTCTACAGGGTCAACTAAATTTGTGTATTTATTTAAGTAGAATAAAATCAGGTAATAAATGTTTATTCATTGAATTAACGCTAAGGACCGGTAGGTACTGGAAAGAAAACATTGTAGTGTTTTCTACTATTTTTATTGATTCGGAAAAAAATACATTGACTAATAAAAGTACTACATTCTGATCACTATCCTGTCACATTTACGATTATTTGTTTGGTTCAATTTGACAAGAGTGAAATAGTCATAAAATAATTAAATCAGTACAATTTAGTAATGAAGCTTACAGAAACCGAACGAATCGAAATTTTAATCATGGAGCTGTGGAGATAAAGTAAGGACTTAAGTTCGCAATTTCGGGGCTCCAACCATGTATGGGTAATTGGGGGTAATCCTGGACAGCAAACTGTCGTGTGGACCCGGTGACGGTAGCCAGGAAGTTGGTGAGAATCCAAAGACTTGCCTGCTTAGGTATTACAGGGGCAATGACCCCAACGGCCGTGTTAGAGGTCCTTCTGGGGCTGCCGACCCTTCCTACATGGATTGTGAGGGAGGCGATGGCGGCATACCTTAGGATAAGGGACGCAGGCGGTTGGAGAGCGAAAGGGCGCACTGAGGGCCATGCTGCCGTGGCCCTCAAGGCGGAGAGGGACATCCCAATATCCGCCATGAGGGTTACGGAAGCAGAGGACCGGCTTAGGTTGGGAAGGAAGTATATCACCACTTTCCCCTGGAGAGAGCAGTGGAAGCAGGATGGTGATATGTTCTCCCCGGGATTCCTAGTATGCTATACTGATGGATCTCGGGTAGAAGACGAGTTTTTTGGAGCAGGTTTTTATCTGGAAGGCAGCGGCATCCAGGAAAGCTTTTCACTGGGTATGTATGCTACAGTCTTCCAGGCCGAGATTTTTGCTATTTGATGGTAGCAAGCAAGGAGGAGGTAAGGAATTGTGCAGAGGAGAAGATTTTTATCTACTCCGACAGTCAGGCCGCGCTCAGAGCGGTAAGCTCCCCGAGGACTAGGTCTGCCCTTGTCCAGGAATATGGAGACGCTCTAGAGTCATTGGCCAGACGAAGAGAAGTAGAGTTGGTTTGGGTCCCAGGCCATATGGGTATCCCTGGTAACGAGAGGGCGAATCAACTAGCTCGTCTCGGGTCCAGGGGACCTGGCCGGGAACCTGAACCAATCTTAGGTATCACACGAGGCAGCATTAATGGGGCCCTCAATAAATGGGCCTATCAAATTTTAGGTCAGAATTGGAAGAGAAATAGAGGATGTAGGCAGACCCATAGTTTTATACATGGACCTAGCAAATCCAAGACGAGATGGCTGCTGAGCCTCAGTCGAAGAGCCTTAAACTAAATGGTGGGAGTTCTGATAGGTCACTGCAGACTTAGGAGGCATTTAAGTTTAATAGGAATTGAGGAGGACCTTCTATGCCCGAAATATGGAGAAGGGGAGGACACCCCTGTCCACCTTCTGGGACATTGTGCAGCCTTTGGGAGAATAAGACATAAAGTCTTTGGTGCTGAAGAGCTGCAAGGGGTTGAGGTGAGAGATCTTCCATGGACCAAAATACTGGCCTTCATCAGGGCGTCGGGTAGGTCAAAGGCAGAGAGGTTAGGTGATGGGACGGCGGGATAGGCAAAAAGGGCCCACTTGTGGCCTAATTGCCAGGCTGAGGCCGCCCCTTTTACTACTACTACTACTACTAAGTTCGCAATTTATTAATCAGTAATAAGAAAAATTGAGAAAAAGTTTCGAGAAACGGGCCATGTTAGAGATCTACCCAAAAGTGGGAGAAAAACAATTCCTAAGGCCAAAAAACTTGACGTAGTACTTGCGTTACAAAAAAATCCTCATACTAACTCGAAACATGTCGCAATGGATAATAATTTACCCCAATCAACTTTGTTGTTCTAGTACTAAAAAAGGAAAGGTGTCGTCCGTACAAAGTACATTCCAAGAGCTGTTAGAAAGTGACTAATAGACGAATCAAATTCTGCGAAACCATTATGGAACGATCTAATAGAAATCGGAGTTTCATAAAAAGGTACTTTTTTCATATGCTCAACGGCCACATAAACCGCAAGACGTATCGATACTGGGCAAGTGAAAATCAATATTGGATGAAGAAGTCTAACACAATATCCAGAAAATGTGAAAGTTTGGGCCGGAATTATAAAGAACCAGATTATAAGCACATACTTTTTTGAAGAGAACATGACTAGTCCTCGATGTCTAGAATTTCTGCAGGGTTATCTGTTGCCACAATCCCAAATAGAAATGATTTGTGGTTCCAATAAGATGGTGTGCCTACACATTACATCGTTTATGTACGATGTACTTACATTAACGTTTTCCGTAGTAGGTGGATAGGGATGAGAGGATCGATCGAATGGCCACAAAGGTCTCCAGATCTGATTCCACTAGACTTCTTTTTATGAGGATACCTACTTGAAGACCAAAGTTTATCAAAGTCAGTTTAGAAGAGTTAAAAGATCACATCAGAACGGAGATTGCACAAATAACCCCTGAGGTTCTAGAAAATGTTAGAGAAGAATTTACTGCCCTTTATTCTCATTGTATCATTGCTGAAGGTCATCAGTTTGAACATTTATTGTAATTTCATTCTACTTAAGTAAATACATAATTTTAGTTGACCGTGTAGAAAGAAATATTCAAATAATTATACCGTTGTTGGATAAACGATTAGGAGACCTGTCAAATGAGGTAGGTATCCCACGACCCCTGTTTGTATTTAAAAAAAATCGTCGATTACGTCATAACGTCAACACTGGTGACGTAACGGCTCTTAAATGTACATCACAGGATGGCCTTTCAAAATTTTAAATTGAGTATATGAATTTATTCCATATATTGTGTTTTCTAAATTAGCCTGTTTTGTTAATTGTTGTCGTCAGACTTTCTCAAAATCTTCAAAGGCTTCTTTATGATCTTTAGAATTCTTCGATCCATGAGGGGAAAAACATAATTTTAATAAATCATTAGGTTTCGTCTGTAAAAAATATTTATATATTATTGTCTACTTATAAAAAAGAAATATGCTTTTTTACCTTCTTATCTTTAATGTTCCTAAAGTTAAAGCCTTTATAGAAGGCAATAGTTTCCAAAGTTCGAAAAGACCTAAGTCTTCGAGTAGGATTGAGTTCTAGCAACCTCAACAGAAGATCCCTTGATGAATTGTCTAGTTCTATATCGCTAGGAAGTATTCCAGATTTCTGGTCTGCAATTACCTTAGAATCAGGATCCACAGCAGAATTAGGAAACTGAAAATAAAAGTTATCATATTAAAATGTTGTCATTCATCTCTGTAGGTAATTAAATAGTAAAAGGAAAGTTTGGCCCACTATATCAGAACACTTCTCTAAAATTTTTTTCGATAAAAAAAGGAATTTCTGACGACTTCGCCTTCGCTCGTAAAGGCATATGTTGTGTTCAGGTCGCTCGGTGGAATGGACCTAAATTTAATGAATGACAAATATGTAGAACAAGTTAGATTTTATTCAGCTCAACGTGCGCACACACACATACGCACACGCGCTCGCGCATCTACATACTCAGACGCACCTACACGCACACCCACCGACACCCACATAACAATAGAATAAAACTAAAATAAACTTAATCTTAACAGAAACAAATGTACTTTTGGTTGTACTTCCATAAAATATCTTGGCATCTAATCACGCCTGAAGGTTTAAAACCCGATCCATCCAAGGTAGAATCCATAATAACTGCTGACATTTCTCCAAACTGCTTTATGGTTTCGTCGATTCATTTACAAGTTCTCCGAAATCTCTCGACCATTGACCAATCTGACTAAAAAGAATGCAAGTTGGGAGTGTGGACTCAGTCAAAAACACGTTTTTGATAAGCTTAAGACAGGCAGACTCAAGACTTCCTTATATTCTACGCACTGATGCAAGCTCTTATGCATTAGGAGCATGTCTACTCCAGGGGGAGGGACATGATGAGAGACCAGTGCTAGTCGTCTTTTAACAGAAAGTGAACGAAACTATTGTACAACACAGCGTGAGGCGCTCGCAGCTGTTTGGCCCATAGACAAATTCCGTGGGTACACAGAGGGAGCTACAGTCATTTTACAAAGTGAACATCAACCTCTCAAATGGTTGCTTTCTTTAAAATCTCCTAGTGGTAGACTGTAAGATGGGCCTTGTCATTACAAGCACTAGACCTGACGATAGAATACACTCCTGGGAAACTTAATGTGGTCGCTGATCTCTAGACCCCCGGTTCGTTAATGTAATACAATTTCATATCTCTTGATCTACTCATCCGCTCTGCTTCTGAATTGAGAGATGAACAATTACTAGAACTAGATGTTTCAAAAATTATAAAAACCTTAGAGGAAACCGAATTAATAAATTCCAATAATGCCAAATGCTGGTCTGAACGAGGATTTCTAATGTCCAATGGGATTTTGTACAGATATGTTCCTGACGAGGATGAGGAGGAGCTGCTGGACATTTTGGAGTTGAAAGAACCCTTAATAAAATCGCCAAACGTTACTATTGGCCAAACATGAGAAGATATGTTGCATCTCATCTATTCAAATGTGACGAATGTCTAAAATTCCAGATTTCTAACCTGAAACCAGCCGGTCTACTCCAAACGCCTGTGCAATCCCAACGCTTTGAAGTCCTCTCTATGGATCTATTTGGTCCATTGCCGGAAACGTCTGAGGGTTATCGCTGGATCTTTATCCTAGAAAACACCGCAAGTCGATGGATTGAACTGTTACCACTAAAGACTGCAACCGCCGAGTAATGCAGTAAAATCCTCGTTTATGAAGTTATATTACAATGTGGTATCCCACATCGAGTGAATAGTGATAATGGTCCTCAATTTGTTAGTGCTGTTATGAGGTTGCCCTGGGTCTAGGCTTCGTACAGTCTGTAACACCAGTTTATCATCCATCCAGCAACTTTGTTGAAAGAAAGCACAGAGATCTCAAGACTCAATTAGCAATCTTTACCAGTCAAAAGACACTGGTCAGAACAACTTCCTTCCCTTAGATTCGCTTTGAATACCGCTCGTTGTAAAAGTACAGGTTACACTCCAGCTTATCTAACGTTCCGAGAATTACGAACTCCTGATGATGTAAGCCGAGATTTACGTTCAATTGTGCAAGATCAGAATTATGTTCCACAGATAACTGCCTTCCTAGATCGAATAGGAAAAACTCTGAGGCGAGCTAGAGAGACTCATGAAAAGAACCAAGATGATTCCAAGAAATATACTGATAAGAACCGCCGAGACGTACCTTCCTCAAAGAACGTGTTTTGGTGGACACCCATGCTTTAAGTAAAGCCAAACACCTTTATACATCAAAATTTGCCCCAAAGAGAAATGGACCTCATCTGATATGTAAAGTAGTCACTCCCACCAGTTTTGAGGTAGATAATATCGAACATCCTACAATACCTATAGGGAAATACCACATCTCTACTCTGACAGCTTACCATGGTCCTGATGATGGTATTCCTATACGACCTTTACAGCGGAGAGGTCGTCTCCCGAAGCCAATATATACAACAAAGGCTCCAGCTCCAATGACACGATCCCTAGAGCCCTATATTCTCCGACCTTCCAAAACTGTATTGAATCCCGCAAGAGACGTAAGCGAGATTCAAAGTGAGCGATTGTAAGAAATACCCAACCAACTGGACATTGCCTTCCCTGGCATACGGCACACAAGCGAGCGGCAAAAGAAGACGGCGATGGTTGACGGTGGACAGTGTTGACTTTGTACTTGTCATTACTTATCATTAAGATAAAGAGCTGGTTTAAGTTAGTGACAAACCATTACTGGTTAGGTTACCTGAACCCCAACCTCACAATTATTTTTATCTTTTCCCGCTCACTTGTGTGCTGTATGCCAGGGAAGGCGATGTCCAGTTGGTTGGGTATTTCTTACAATACCAGTTTTCCATAACCGCTGATCAACGCGTTGAAATGTTTTTGAATTCGATAGTTGTCTATTGGGAAATCTCTCTGCGTATAATCTATGAACTCTCAATGAATTACATCGTGTTTCTCCATATATTAAGTGCATATCACAATATCTTGTAAATGTATACTCCATAACTAGTTAGTTATTTTTAAAATATTACAATTGTCAACCTGGCAATTTAATTGTATCATAACAAATAATACAAACCATAGTAACCACTTGATTAATCTGTTATGATATTTTTTAATACAGTTTAGAATTTTTCACCATGGTCAGGAAATAAAAAATAATAGGTATTTAAATGGTTTGACCAATTTTTACTTTCCCTATAAGTTGTTGTTTAGAAGACTGTAAATAATTTGATTCATACACTAGTTGTCAAGTGGTTTAATATAATAGTTCGGTCGGTCAAAATAGACATAGAGTATGAATCAGATTAAAATATCAAAAGAAATCAGAACTACAGTTAAAGTCAATAACCTATATCAATAATCATCATGCAGTTAAAAGAGTATTGTCCCTGAAAATTCCGTCATAACAGTTCGTGGAGTAGGCCTACCGGGGAAACCACGTTAAAAAAAAACGCGCCAAAGTACACTACCTCACAGGTGGTGTGGAAATTTGTGCATATCATGTAGAACGTGATTCCTTCAACTATTAGAATCGCGATATTAGGTGATTCTTAGAACAGAAAGTATAAAGACCATTTTTGTAGATAATTTTAAGATCTATAATTTTTGTCTGGGATACTTTTTTATAAAACTTACCGTTTTCGAAAAAAATCCAAAAAACCTCAAATTTTGAACTTTGACCCCGAATAACTTTTTTAGCACACATGTGATCAATGGGGACTTTTTACACTTTATTTCTAACGGTGTACCCAAGGTCTTCACCAAAATTTAGCTCTGTCGGAAGTTGCTTAAAAACGAATATCTATGCATGTACGCAAAATATTTTGATAACCAAGAATATCTAAAACGAAGAAGAGTATGTTTTTTATGAAACAAAGGACGCTCTTTCATATTTTCAATATACAATGCGTAATTCCAAAGGCAACAATTTTTCCCCTATTTATCAAAGGAATAGGGTATAACTGACACCCATACAGGGTGTTTGTAAATAAGTGCGAAATATTTTACGGCGTGGTTGCCGAAGTTATTTTGTGAAAAAAAGTTCATATAGACGTAGGTCGAAATATGCTTCGTTTCCGAGATACAGTGTTTAAAATTTAATTTTTTATTTATTTTTATTAATTATTTCAAAGAGTTTTGAACATCCTGTAACTCGAAATCGAAGAATTTTTTGCCCACATTCATATCAACTTTTATTTTCAATGTTGAATTTTTACTTTGACGACGCTTTAGTAAAAGAGACCCTTAAATAAAAGATTAACAAAACCTACAATAAAATATGTTTTATTTTTCCCTCAAGAACGGTGCATCCTACGAAAAAAATTGAAGAGACCAATTTCATTTAGAATTGATGGCGGATTTCTAAAAAAAATATCAAAATGGGGAAAAGTCAGTGGCGTACCATTTATTTTAATTAAAAAAAGTTGTGGCATTCTCGCACGAACGCCACTGGTGCAAGTAGAAATATTTGGTTCACCCCAAAAAATGTCCATTTATCCCTCCAAAGTGTGTTTCAAATTTCGAGTTTATATCTTTAAAACTCTGAAATGGTAATTACTAAAATTAAATAAAAAATTAAAATTTAAATACTGTGTCTCGGAAGCGCAGCATATTTCGACCTACATTTATATGAACTTTTTTCACAAAATAACTTGGGCAACCACCTCCTAAAATATTTCGCACAAACACCCTGTATAAGCAACGCCAGAATTAGTTCAAAATATTCTTATTTGTCATATCGATAAACATAATAGTGCAAATTTGTAGATTACAGTCTAGCATGGAGCCTTATGAAAGTTCTTTCTGATGGAAGTGGTCTAATTCGACGGGCTTGTGCAGCATTTCCATCTGCTAGCCCATAAATGAAATGTATTTGAGCTTGTTCAACGTTATTCATAGTTAACTGCACACTAAAAGATAGTCAACTGACAGTATCTTGTCACTTTTAATGCCAAATATCATCGGAATTTTGTTATCACAGGAATTTTTGTATTCAACAAAAAAAAACATTTCTTTAAAATCTTTTTTAAGCAGATAAGGTAGGAGAATCGATTATTCTAGTCCAAAATGGCAAACAGGGTAGCAGAAAAAAGTTGCGATTGATTAAAGAGGCCGAAATCGTTGCCGGTGGCGCCCTCAAAAAAATACACCTAAATTGACC